ATAACATGCCTCCGGAAACTCTATGAACTTTGATAAATGTTGATAAATGTTGTAGAGGGGCTTCAGGCCTTTTGTTCATAGGATCTCTATGAGTCATGCTCAACTCAAAGGCAATCAACAACAACAACAACATACTCCTATACCATCTAATGAGGTTATAAAATCTTGATTTCAGTATATTGTTGGTGTGTGTTGTCGAGTTGCTTGCAACTCATAGCAACCCTATTTACAAGAGACCTAAACCCTGCTCTATCCTGTGTCAACCTCACTGTCTCTGACATACCCACTCCCATTACTCCAATCACTCAATCGATCCATCTCATCGAAGTTCTTCCTCTCTTGCGCTGTCCCTCCACTCTCCCAAACATGATGTTCCTCTCCAAGGACTCGTCCCTCCTTTCAGCATGCTCAAAGTATGTAAGATGAAGCTTCAGAATCCTTACCTCCAAGGAGCAATGCGGTTTCACCCTTTAAGGGAAATACGTGTTTGTTCTCCTAGCAATCCATGGTATATTTGACACTCCTCTCCAGCACCACAGCTCAAAGGCACCGATTCTCTTATCATCCCTAGTCACTTTTCAGCTCTCAGATGCATAGCATCTATGGCCCAGATCAGGTTTAAGTATGCCTGTCTTTAAAGTTAACTTTTTTTTTTTTAAATCTCTCTCTTCTTCTTCTTGTGTACTGTTGAATCGGGTCTGACTGGCACAGGAGGAGGTTACCTCTACTCCTCTAGCAGAGCATCTGGTGGATTCAAACCATATGCCTTCAGGATTGAAACATAGCTTCTTGCCAGTAGGCCACCAGAGCTCCTTAAAGTTAATTTTGAGCACCTTATCACATTGAAAATTTTGAACCGTCAACATTTCATATGTAGACTTAGGTCATGTATGTTGATGTTGTTAAGTGCTATTTAATTAAATACAATTCATAGCAACCCTATGAGCAACATATTGGATTCCTGTGCTGTTCTGCACCATCCTTATCGTGCCTGACACATTAGAGCCCACTATCACAGATATATATCTTGTTAAGAGACTTCCTCTCATACATACTTTCGGCACATTGTTAGGAGGGGCCTGTGTTTGGAGAAGGATGTCATGCTCTCAACCAGGTGCATTGACACAGTGACTACAGCAGTGGGCTTGAGATTGTGAGGATAGCACAAGATAGGAAAAGATTTAGATCTGTTATTCATAGGGTCATTATGAGTCATACTTGACAGCACCTAACAACATACAGGTTGAAACTGTAGAGTCTTTGCTTATGCATGACTCTTTGCTTCCTATTGACTTTTCTTAGCCCTTTATTATTAGGAATATTAAAGGAGCTCTCATGAGTTACTCAGTAAGGAGTTGCACTGCCAATCCAAAGACAGGTGGTTCGAATCCACCAGGTGCTTTGCTGGAGAAAGATGTGCAATCTCCTCCTGTGCAATTTACAGCCATTGAAAACTTGCTAGAGGGTCAGTTATGAGTTGGTTCTAACTCAACAGTGATGAGTTTATTTATGAATTATTACTTTGGTAAAATCAGGAGATGGGCAGTATACTCCAGTGTGATTTAGATACTCCAAAAACTTTCTAGAGTGTCAGCTCTGAGTCACTTCTGACTCCACAGCACAATATATTACAACAAACAACATATTATTTTAAAGGGGGCCAATTAAGCAGGAAACATCATTAATATAGATTTTTTCCTTGATTTTATTTAAGAGTGCTCTTATTAGTTTTCCAATGAATTGCTACAGACATCATATATTGTTATGACTAGAGGAATGTTCTCAACCATTATCTAAATCCCTCTGTTGTTTTTATGTGCCATCAAGTGACCTGTGACTCACAGTGACTCTATTTACAACAACTCTGAAGCCTGCCCTGTCCTGAGACAGTTTTACTGACTGACACATCTACCCCATTGCCCTAGCTAGTGTCTCAATCCATCTCATCTGGGGTCTTCCTCTCCTACAGTGTCCCTCCACCCTTCCAAGCATGATGTCTGTCTTCAAGCACAGATCCCTCCTGGCCATGTGCCCAAAGTATGTGAGACGGACCTTCAAAATCCTTGTCTCCAAGGAGAAACTTGGTTTCATCCTCTCCAAAACAGACCTGTTTGTTTTCTTGGCAGTCCATGGTATGTTCAAGACTCTCCTCCAGGACCACAACTCAAAGGCATCAATTCTTTCATCTTTAGTCATTGTCCAGCTCTCTGATGCATAGCAAGTCATTATAGAGACCATGGCCTAGATCAGGCACATCTGAGTCTCTATACTGAAACTATTGATTCCCTATAATCTGAAGATGTGCTTGACAGCAGATTTTCCCAGGGCAATTCATCTTTTGATTTCCTGACTGCTGGTACCAAGAGTGTTGATTGTGGAGCCAAGAAAGTGATAATTGTTAACAACCTCAATCTCTTCTCCATCTATCAGTTGGCCCAGTGGTAAGAATCTTTGTTTTTTTGATGTTGAGCATCAATCTATATTGAAGACTACAGTCCTTGGCTTTCTGTAGCAAGCATTTTAGGTCCTCCTCTGTTTCAGTAAGCAAGGTTATGCCATTTGCATAATGTAGGTTGCAATCCAGATTTCACATTCCTCATAGAGTCCAGCCTTCCAAATGATCTGTTCTGCATATATATGGAAAAGGTATGGAGATAGACTACATCCTTGGCATACAACTTTCATGATTTTGAACCATGAAGTATTTCCTTGCTGTGTTCTGAGGATAGCTTCCTGGTCCAAGTATAAAAGTATACTTCTGGGATTCCCATTCTCCTCAAGACTAGCCATACTTTGTTGTGATCCACATAATCAAATGCCCTTGCTTCGTCAATGAAACACAGATGGACATTTCTCCAACACTCTTTGCTTTCTACCAAGATCCATCTGACATTGACGATAATGTATCTAGTACCACAACCTCTTCTAAACCAAGCTTGTATTTCTAGTAGTTCTCTGTTGATGTACTGTTACAGTCATTTTTGGATAATTTTCAGCAAGATTTTGCTTGTGTTGATCCTAGTGATATTGTTAAATAATTTCCACACTCTGTCAGGTCACCTTTTTCTGGAATTGGAATAAATATGCATCTCTTCCAGTCAGTTGACAAAATAGTTTTCCTCCAGATTTCTTGACTCAACCTTGTAAGCATGTACAGGGCAGTATATGTTGAAATATGCCAGTTGGTATTCCATCAATTCTTGGTGCCTTGTTTTTTGCCAAGTTCTTCAGAGATGTCTGCACTTCCTCTTTCATCACCATTGTGTCTTGATCATATGTTGTTTCTTCAAATTTTTCTGTGTCAGCCATTCTTTTTGGTACAGTGACACTGTATACTCCTTCCTCCTCCTCCTCCTCTTTTTTTTTTTAATATTTTTCTTCTATCGTCATTTAATGCTCCCTGGAACATTGAATATTCTGCCCATTCAAGTTGTGACTTGAATTTGTTCTTAATTCCTTCAGTTTAAGACATTCTGAGTTTGGTTTTTTTGATTTTCTGACTCCAGCTCCTTGCACATTTCGTTATAATACTTTGCTTTATCTTCCTGAGCTGCCCTTAGACATCTTCTATCAGCTTCTTAATGCCGTGGTTTCTTTCCTTTGCATTCACTTCTTGGTGCTCTAGTGCAATATTCAGAGTCTCTTCTGACATCTATTTTAATCCCTTTAGAACCTCCTTTTATATGGAGTGGACACTTTTTTATTTATTGAGATTTTTTTTGGTCTCTTTAATTGATATTTTAATGAAAGTTTATAAAGATCTTGGATTTCTACTCATTCATTGTTGCACATTATCCTCCCTGCCCCACACCTCCCCTTGGAGTGGACACTCTTCATAATCTGTGTGGTATATGCAATGAAAGGACACAGAGCTAATCAAAAGTCTCATCAGGTGGGTGTAGTGAAGTCTCATCAGGTGGGTGTAGTGATTGATAGGATTGACTGCAGAGTACTTACAAACCTCAGAATGCTTTTGAAGACAAAGAACAAATTAGATTCATTAAATACATTTTTTAACTAAAGGAAGGATAATTGATTTTATGGGTAGAAAGAATACTATCTTAATTTTTTATATTTTGTTAGAAGACAAAATTTCAATTACCTTTAAGTCTTTTAAAGAAAAACTCCCCAAGGTATACTGAAGGTACATTTACTTTTTGGTATCTATTCACCTTATATCATGGCTATGCAACATTTTAAAACATTATAATATAAGAGAAAAATGATAACAACCTATGCAAGTAGAAGTACAGAAAGAATAGACAGTAATTCAGAAGTTTGTTGATTTTGGAAAGCCTGTGGGTGATTCTACTCTGTCCATGTGTATAGGTCATATATAGAGTCCATATGTAGTTTTATGATTAATTGGAAACAGCCCAAGTGCCCAACAAAAAACAAATGGATAGAGAAGCTGTGATATAGTCACACAATGGAATATTATGCAGCACTGAAAAATAAAGAACTCATGAAATATTGTACAAAATGGATGACCTTGGAGGACATTATGCTGAGTGAAATATCTCAGTAAAAAAAAAAAAGACAAATACTGTATAGAACAGAACTGATATGGAGGTTGGGAAAAACTAAGAAAAGAGGGGATAAATAATGTACACAGTATTGAAACAGATGAGGGAAAGAATTGTATAAAAGGAACATATGATTAGGTACTATTGGCACAACAAGAGTCCAGAATAAGTTGCATAGCAAAGTAGTCTTGGGGTGGGTGAGTGGGGAATGTATAACAATGAAAGAACTTTTTTTCCAAAGAAAAAAGTGAACTGGAGCGGAGGGGGGACAGGAAGGAAAATGTATAACAATGAATGAATGGAAATTTAAAAAAATATATAAAATGATCTTCAGAAGTAAAAAAAAAATTCAGTATTTCTCTTGAGATTTTGCTTTTTCTTATAACTGAATGTTTGACATCTCCTAAAAAAAGGTGATAATTTAGCCTAAAACTCTGTGTTTAAGTTACACATACTGCACCCATTGAACATAAAATTCCCAGTTGGAAAAATTAATTCCCTTGATATTTTTTTCATAACTTACTGTGTAGTCTATCAATTATAGAGAAAAATATCCATATATAAGTGGATCAAAGCATGGATTTAAAAAAGCAAAGAGAAAGAAGAAATGATTTACTGGTTCAGATACTCTATGTAACATTTCAGGGTCAAACCAATACCAAATTCCTAGGACATAGTAGGGCGTCCAGCAGACAGTAAATGAAGTAGCAAATACAACTGTCATCTTTAGGGTCCTCAGCCGTGCTCTTGGTATGTTGTTCTTGGATTGATTCAGTTGTAGTTCTAGAAGGCAGAGAAAACAGGAGACTTTCAATGTCCAGTCTTCCCACAAAACAAAAATACAAAAATGAAGACAGAATCACTAACTGATCCTAATGAATATAATTAAAGTAAATGTACATTTCATTTAATTACATTACAATCTGCTTGAGATATGCGATCTTATTCTAGATTTTTTTTCTATAATTATATTTTATTAATTTTCATAAACATTTACAGAGATTTTGGGCTTCCACTCATTCATTGTTGCACTATTC